TAACTTTAATATATATTCTTCTGGGTCTTCTGCTTGACGTAATTTTATAATTCGCTCTTTATAACTTTGCATGAACTTACCTTCTTTTGGTTTTTTATAGTATATTCCTGCTTTAACTACATTAATTAAAGCTTGCTCAACTTCTTGATAGGTGGGCTTGGTTTGGATATCTTTTGTATCTTGAGTAATAAATGTCATTTAAATATGTGATATTTTTTGATTAACTAAAGTTTTGTTTATACTACTTTATAAAATCTTTTCTTTAAATAAATTTTTCAGTCAATATAAAAATGATTGGTGAATATACTTGCCTATTTTATCATAATTCTGGTAAAATTTGTGGAAGAACCTGCATGCGCTCTGAAGGGTGTAGTTATCATTGGAAAGCTAAAAAAAGAGTACCTTGCACTGATTGTGGAAAGCCAACTGGTTCTATTTCTGGTCGTTGCCCTTTGCATATTCGGGGGTATTATGTGGTCCAGTACTACGATAGATTACGAGCGAGAGCTTTAAAAATGAATTCTTAATAAATTGGGACCTGGCCCAAATTTTGTGACCCTTATTGAAATTTTGTTACCCTTTGGTATATATATTTATTTTTTGTTACCCCTTGGTATATATAGTTACATTTTTTGTTACCCTTTTGATATATATGGGTCACATTTTTTTGTGCTAGTAAGTAGTAAAGAATCAGCTTTAGAATGAATTCTGCTATATTGATTAATATTGGTATCCTTTTTGTTATAAATTTGGATAAAAGAATATGTTCTAGATATACAACAATATTGGTATACTGGTTGTGATTTTTGATGCATAAATGATAGTAAGCAAGATAACGTAAATCATTGTTATCTTTTTGATATAAATTTGAGCAGAAGATTGCGTTCTAGATATACAAAAAATAATATCACTGTGCTAGAATGATGACGCAAACGCAAATTTATCGTCATTCGAGTGATGATGTGAGCATAAATTTATCGTCATTTATCCATTTTGATATGAATTTGGGTAAATAAATGCGTTCTAGATAAAAATCATTGATTTGACGATGCAAAAGCGAATTTATATACAAGATTGATACCGGCAACAAAAATTGTGCCAGAACTCCTTTTTTGCTCCTACTGCTTATATAAAGGCAGTATTTGTAGATGTCTTGACAATAGGGTGGTGTGGTGTGTATCAAGGTCTGAAAGTAGCAGAAAATTGGCTGAGTTTGTTCAGGTAGACAGAAATAGCCCAATTGGAAAGTTTAGCAGTGTTAAGGACATTGGAGTCGTTTGTGATGGATCCAAAGTATTTTTGGGTGACTTTGTTTATAGACAACAAGGTTGCGGTGAGGACAGTAGGAGTTGTTCATAGCAAAATGATATAGCCAGGTTTCTTTGAGAGTTTTGTGTAATAAATGATATTTGGATTCACGAGGTCAGGTGGATTCCAGGAAAAGAGAATCTGGCAGATTTTTTTATAAGAGTTTGGGATGTAGGAGATTGGCAGTTAAGCAATTAGGTATTTTTGGATTTGGAAGTCAGGTGGGCCCAATAACGGTGGATTGTTTTGCGAGCCATCTAAATGCAAAAAAAAGAAGGTTCAACAGTTACCACTTTTATCCAAACTCGGAGGTGGTTGATTGCTTCACTTAGGATTGAAGCTCGGAAATAAACTATGCTTGTCCTCCTTTCAGTCTAATTCATTGGGTTTTGATGCACAGTCGAGAGTGTAAAGCAAAGGTGCTGTTGATTTTTCCTGTATAGGTTTCAGCAATTTGGTGGCTGATTTTTCTAGAAGCTTTGAATCAAGTGGTAGAGTTGTCTCAAGCTTCAGAGATCATTGTTTCAGGTCCGTCAGGCCAGAAAGAACTATGCAACAACCTGGCCTAGAGGTTGTTGGCCGCAAACATAGATTGGTCAGGTCATGTTTAAATAGGGCAGAAAATTTGGCTATGCAAAGCGTATATAGGTTGAGGTTAATTAAAATACAGCAAGTGTTTTTGGATTTCTGTAAATGGGTTGAAGAAATGGCTTGTCCAGCAAATATTAATACAGTTAAGTTATTTTTGGGCTGGTTGGAGTTGGCAGGTTTGACATCTCAAATGCAAGAGTATCTTGGTGCTATAATGAGGCTGCATAAGGAGAAAGGTTTTAGTAACCCAGCAGAAGATTTTAAAGTTAAGGAGGTGGTAAGAGGTATTAGGTTGTTGAGGGCAAAAGATAAGGTTACAGATTGGCCCTGAGACTTATTTCCGTTAGAGGCGTTAAGGAAGTATCATGATTTTTTACTAGAAAAGGTGGATTCGATTTTTTGGTGCAGGGATCTGGCTTTGGTAGCCCTAGGTTTCAGAATAATGAAGAGGCTGGAAGAGTTGTATAAGTTAAAGTTAAGAGATGTAGAGGTAAGATTGGATTTTGTGTGGGTAGGATTAGAAAAGCAAAAAATGATCCTTTTGCAAATGGGAGATTTGTGCTTATTGAAATGACAGTGAGTAGGTTTTGTCCGGTTAGGTTGCTAAATAGATATTTGAAGGTTAGACCTTTGACGTCTGGTGATGAGCCATTGTTTTTGTCTAACCGAAAAAGAAAGATGTCAATAGCGTTGACTTTATCTGTAGTAAAACAAATGACAGATCATACTAAAATTAAAGGACATTTCACGTCTCATAGTTTAAGGATAGGTGGTGCAACAGCAGCGATGAGAGGGGGTTGTCTTTAACGCAGATTAGAGCAATTGGGGATTGGGACTCCAAGGCAGTAATGTTGTATTTGAGGTCAATAGAGACAGCGAGGAGAAGGGCGTCGGTTAAAATGGGGTTTTGATAAGTTTTTTATGTATCTGCAAATTGAGTTTATGTATGCTTTTGCTTATGATGAGATTAGTGATTCTCTTGATGATCCTATATGTGTATTACATAGGTATTGATTATTTGTTTTAGATCAAGTGACAAATAGGATACTGTGAACGAAATCACGAGGCATCTATTTGTCATGAAACTATGAACTGGGTCCATAATGTAAGTTATAGTTTGGTAAGTATAATATAGTTATAACAATGATTATGTATTTAGTTATGGAAGTATGTAAGGATGATATATTGTTTGAAGGTATTGGGTAAGTGTGTGAATATGATGAGTAGTATTTAAGTGAAGAGTGTGTGGAAAAGTGTTCTCCCTCTTTTGTCTTTGCTGCTAGCTCGATGAAAAGTCTGGCTTTTGTTACCTGCCCACCTATCTCTGTTAGTTTTGGGTTTTTTATTTTAGGTTCGATTAATTGGGTGAGTGTTTTTTCAGGTTTGTAGGATATAGGATGTTTTAGTAGGAAGACATGAGTGGTCGACTCAAATATTTTAGAAAATTGTTGAGACATGATGCTAGGAACCAACTGTAGATCACGTGAGTGGTGAGACGGAATCCTATATATGTATTACATAGGTATTGATTATTTGTTTTAAGTCAAGTGACAAAAATAATAATGAACAATTGCTTATTTCTGTTGTAAGTAGAAACAGAATGAGTTAGGATGAGAATTAGATTTTATGTGTAGTTACTATGTTCCAAATCAATTTTAGTTCTGTTTCCACTTATAATATCCCTCAAGGTTTTTTATTGTGCTTTTCAAATTACTGTAATCACCTTATAGTCATCCACTATGAAAAAATCGTGCTTTTTTATGAATAAATCTAATTAACGTGTCTAGAAATAAATATTTCAAGATTCCTAATCATATCTCGATTCTGCAGTATTGCTATAGTAGTTCATCAAAACTGGTGGTTAATTTTGTTGATAATTTTGTCAAACAAACTATATACCAGATTTAGCATACTACTACAGTAGAAATAGTATGGAGAATCGAAATATAATAGAGAATCTTGAGAATTTCATTTCTAGACATGTTATAGCGCTTTTCAAAAAGATGTGGCCTTATAATTTTTGAGATGATGATGGTGAAGAATCACCGAAATCCTAAATATAAATCTAAATTTAAAGAATCTAATATGAAATTATATTACGTAATTAATCTTTGTTTTTAATAATGATAAATATATTTATCCATTTCTTTTATGTATCGATCAATATATATTTATTAATTTTTTTTTTCTAATGGCTGATGCCCAAGAAACAAAGTGTATTGTTAAGAAACCTGTTTTAATTGTCGAAAATTTGGTACTGTGGAATTGATTACAACGTCAAGATATAATTGCAACTTATTGGATGTGCCACATAAAGATAATCGAATTGCTGTAAATGTGTATTTATACCAAACTGAACTAAGTGGAATATGTTCATCAGACCGTTTGACAAGAAGTAAATTATACTCATGGATAAATAAATACATTAGTTTTAACACTTCCCCTCATGATATCCTTGTTTCATAGTCTAGAGGTCTTTGACCTGCCTAGTTAAGGTTAAGGTCTAGAGTAAAGTAGCTCCATCCCCACTTCCCTAAAAATTTATGTAAACTTACGTTGTAACCCCTACATAATAAATAATAAAGGAACTGAGGAAAAGACCTCACTTAAAAAAAAAAAAACCAATAAAAATCACAACGATAATTAATTATTATGTGTGCAATATCGTTAAGTACAGTTTGGTATCGGTTTGTTAATCTTTAATTAATGGAAGTTTGAAAATGATGTCAACATCAACATAAACGCGTCCTATAACTGTATTTGAAAATTTATAATGATACATTTCAATTAAAGAGCTAAATATTAGCTTTGGCCAAAAGAGGTATTGAAAAATCGATTGTTAATAATTTATTTACAGAAAAAGATCAAGTATTAAAAAACTTGTTTTTTTTTTTTTTTTTTAAATACGTCTACAAATTAATGTAATACATAAAAATAGACCAAAAAAATACATAATAAAAGACCTTTGAAGAAATAAGAATAATACAGTACAAAATATCTGCGCGAAAGATTCATCAATGATGAAATGTGTATAGATACAATCATTTTACCGAGCATTAAATTGTTGAACAAAAAAACTATGAAATATTTCAAACTAAAGATTATAAAGTACCAGATAATTGTTTTAAGATATTTTTTTTTTCTTCTGGATCTAACTGTTCTAATAATGAAAATACTCCATCTAAAACAGCCTGTTTATTGGTTTTTCCTAATTCAAAGATTCGTTGTGTTATTGCTTCATTTCTTATACTCTCAATTCGCGTCTCAATTGATGACAATGTTTTACTGGATATTTCACTATCAGCATCGAATTCGTCGTCAAAATTATGTGGATTTGTTTCTGAATCGCTAAGCACTTTATCAAACCAATTCACAATTTCAACATCAGATTCTTCCCAATCTAATTCTACTCCAACATCATCGTAGAACCACGTAGCTAAGTAACCTTTCATTTGAGTCTTTGTAAGATTGGAATTAGCTACACTCAACTTTTTAAATACATATTCTTCATGTAACCGTCTTCTCACACGCCAATAGAAGAACCTCCTAGCTTCTCGCCATTCCAAAACTTTCCTAATTGTATTTTTAGCTTTCATTCTACCGGGTGTATCATGTAAATCTGCAAATTGCAAAGCAATTTGAGAATAAACGGGAAGTAATTCATTTTCTCGAGTCTCCAGAAGCATCTTAATTTCAGATTTCTCTATCTCAGTTTTTGAAGGATCCTCTAACGATTTTTTAAGATTACGGTAAGTTTCGTCTAAACGTTCCATTGTAACAAGTAGTTGGGGTTTTCGGTATTTGATTTCAATAATTCCTTCAGGTTCAAGAACGCCAGCCCTTGCTTTTTCATCAGCATACATTTCCATCATGCTTTCATTAATTGATGGATCAACTACCACCCAAGCACCTCCACGAAGCTCTCCGTTCGGTACAATGTAGACAAAAACAGGTTGTTTATAATTTGTGAGTGCGTCAACAATATATGAGCCATACTTCAGTATCTCTAAGAACATATCACGCTGACCACCTGAAAATCCACGCCAATTTGCAAGGATCATGAGAGGTAATTGTTCACCTTTGTTAAAATCATTAATGGCTTGTGCAGTTTTATAAGCTGAATTGGGATACCAAACTTGACCTGCTTCTTTCATGACTTGTTGTTGAGATTCTGAATTAGCAGGATCAGCTGGAACTATGTGTTCTACGACACGTGTTTCAACTGCAATTATACCCATAGGAACTCCGCCAAGGCGTGCACGACCAACAACAACTGTTTTAGCCCAATTACCAAGAGTTTCTACGAATGAATTACGATCAAAAAATCCACTAATCCATTTGTCTGATTCGTATTTTCCAGCAATTAACCAACGTGGGTCGTATGGCCCTTTGGGTGGCATGTAATCAATCTCTCGATCCCAAGTATCGGAATTAGGTGATATAGGAACAGGTGAATTTTTAAATGACGGTACATATGAAAGCCACTGGACAATCTTTGTAATTCCTTCCAAATCATTTTGAGCAGTAAGATGAGATATACCATTTCTATACATAATTTGTGTACCTCCAAGCTGTAAATTTGATGTGTAAACTTCCCGACCGAGCACCTTATTTAAAGCTGATGCACCAGTAAGTATAATAGGTTGCCCTTCATTTTGTATTGTTCGTTGACCAAGACGAACTAAGTATGCACCAATGCCTTTAAATAGAGGAATGAATGATGAATACTAACTTCAAAATGATGATTGTTAAATAGTACTAGAAACTTTTTTAAATACGTACCAACTGAGCGGCAGGTAACAAGAGTAATTGTGAATATATCCTCGTATGCACGTGAAGTTGCACCAGCTATTAATCCTGAACCTTTCAAAGACTCTACACCAAGTCCGTCAGTAGCACCTATAATATCACTTTATAACAAATAATATGTTAACGAATTAACTCTTTATGTTTAAAAGAATCTTTTTAAAAGATGAGAATAGTTAATTACGTGATTTTATATCGAACATCACCATCTTCAATTAATTCTTCAACGATTACGGACTTTTGCCTATTCTGGTTCAATTGCTTGTAAGTTTCAGAGTCAAGATAAAGGTAGTTTATTCCCTTGCTAGGATTATTTTTGTCAACCCAGTCAACTTTGAAATGATTAATTATCTCATCTGCCAACCCGATCCTTGCTCCAGAGTTAGCTGAGAGATACACCCTCGGGATTCCCAACTTTCTAGCAAATTCTGTAGCTTTGGCAAAGAACTGATCTTCAACAGGACCAAATGAACCGATATGATATGTAATATCATTTGCAATTACGATAGTTTTGCGGCCTTCTGGATATTCTGGTGTAAATAGGGTAAGCATCCATGCTACCATACCAAATGAGTTAGTACCAGGAGAACGATCAACTTCTTGTAGTTGACCTTTTTCATCTAAAACCAGTTCTTTGGCTTCTAATAAATCTGCTGGACATTTTAGCTCAGGGCAATTATGGATAGCGCGGTTCCATTGTGTACGAACTGCTTGGCGGAATAACTCGGGGAAATCATAAACGTATGTAGTACCCATAAGATGAGCTTTGAAACGTCTTGGTTGAAGCCATTCTTTGGTTGGATAAGGAGTAAGTGTTGGTTGCAAGTGCATAGATCCTATTTTTCCAATTGACTTAAGAATTGTATTATCACCCTCAGCTTTGACCTCTTGGTAAGTCTCTATTTTAATAACATAACCAGAAACGTTATTGATGATGACTCGAAGAGGATAATGATTTCCTTTTATAGGATCTTCAACTTTAAACCGAGCTTCAGCACCGGTAACACGCAATCTCCATAACCTTTTTCCATGCCTATCAATAAAGTTTTTAACAGCCTCTTCAATTTGACGTGGTTCTAAGACGAAGGTTGGTATATAATTTATGAATAAATGGTTGCAGTCCGAATTTTTGTGATTAGAGCTAACTATTTCAAGAGTATCTAAAATTTCATTCAAAAGCCGATCTGATTCTGAAAGGAGATACTCTGTGTGTACACTATTTCTAAAGACAAAAATTAAAAAAAGTTTAAGCATAAGAACAGATCAAAAAAACGAATCAAAAAAACAATTGATTTAATGTTTAAAATAAAAACCTCATGCGGCCAGATCGAACTAAAGCACGAACAAAGAATCTGCAATCCGAGGTGTTTTCTTTGCCAATTGCATAATAGACGCGAATCTGTCTATTATCAGTCAAACAAGGTTTAATATCAAATTTCGATAACCTTGCAAGTTCGAGCTAATTTATTAACATGAACCAAAAGATTAATAAATAAATATGTAATATTGGTAATTCAAATTTTTGTTATACATTCAAAAATAAAATCATCAATTTACTTCATATGCCATGGCTGGTTCAATATGTCGAATTGTTTGATCTTCAGCGAAATTATTGGACTCACGAAAAGTAAAATACCCTGGATATTGGCCCTTTCGGAACAGGACAATTGTGACACGTCTAATTCTATGTTCTCTGAGTTCAACTGTATGACGTTGAATCATAGGCTGTAAATCTCGTTTAAGAATCTCATCTTCTATTGGGTCATCTTCCAATCTCAATGCAATGTTAATGATGTTATTGGCAACACTATCTGTTAGATCTTCTGCTCGACGTCCATTTTGACGAAATACATCGAAAATGCGTGGAAAGGTTTGGTCAATTTCTGCATTAGAGGTGCATGAAATCATCACACCAACGCGGACATGTTCGTTGTCGTTGTCCGTACGTGGGGTTACGTAGCTTAAATCAGATATGGATCCATTACGTGATATACGATAGAACGGTGAAGAGGGTGGTTTGAATGGGGATTGTGATTTTGTTGTGGTCTCTGAGTTAGTGTTTTGAAGTATAAACTTCCAAGAAATCATATAAGGAACTTGTTCCGGGTAATATTCAAAGTCCATAAGTTGATAAACACGATATGCACGTCTGGCATAAACTTCCAATGCAGCAAGACTAATCCATGCATCATCATGGTAAAAGAAATCTGGCAAGACGTCAAATACAGTAAATCGCGTTTCAATAAGTTCTTTGAGAGAATCATAACTTGGAGTGCGATAGTCATAACCATCATCACCATAATGGCTCTCAATAACAGCTGCCTTAAGAATTTGTTCCATCTGTACAGACCGTTCATCATATGATGGCAGTTGACAATGTATTAATAATTCACGAGCTTTAAGTGAGACACTAGTTGTAGCTCTTCCACGAAGTTCGGCCAGTTTTTTTAGAACAGGTGAGAAGAACTTTTCAAGAGCATGTCCAACATTGTCAGGTTTAATTTGATCCAATAATTGTATTATAAAACTGTTTTTAGCACTAATTTTTGAATGTGACAAGACAATTCTAATAACTTCATCTAAATCGTTCTTATAAGTGTCACGTAGAGCAAGAATAACATCTTCTTCACGTTTATTAGAAGAGTCTGAAAATAGCGCTTCAACCTCATGATACTTATTCAAGAAGCATATTATTTCATTCCATTTACGATATTTAACTCCTGACATGTATCGATTAATAACCTCCATTAAAGGACTTACTGATAACGTAAAAGTAGCAGTATCACCAGGGGCGACAAAATCACGCGAATAGTTATCGATCACTTGTTTAAGATGTTTTGCAGGAAATTCGCGATCCTGTTTAACCGTTTCATCTTGCAAAGTAGCATAAAGCTTGGCCGGAATCCTCCCAGGAAGTGTGGATAAAACGGAGTGAAATTCCAGATAAGGTAGTTCAGGATTTCTAAGAAGTTCCATTATTTCTTTAACATTACTCTGTAATTTTGTATGATCATCATAACCGTCCAAAATGTTTTCAAGATTCTGCTTAACCTCAACGTATCTTTGATGAGCTTTGTCACCTATTATAACTGGTGGGTTCATAAATGGAAGCTGGCCCTCGTAGGGAATCGCGTGACGAACATGACTTGGATCATCCAGAGTAAGAATACCAATTATATCGCCAGCTTCAAGTACTGAATTTGCTTGCTTTATGAATTGTACAATACCATCCTCAGTAACAACCAAAGGCATATACATTTTCATCACCTATACATCATTATAAATATTTTTATCAATAATGATCTAATGATCAAATGATCAAATGATAAAAGAACAAATAAAGGTTGTACTAAAAAGCATACCTCTATCTCAGCATAAGCGTCACCTCTGTTGACATGAGCGCCAGATTCAACCAAAAACCTTACAAGTTTTCCGGGAGATGGAGAACGAAGTTGGGTTGGATCATTCTCTTGTTCTAATAAACAAGTTTTACCATCAATCATCAGACGAGTTGCTTGGACCTCGTCACGGAAATAACACGTATGACTTTTGCCATCTAGTAACACCAAAAGACCACCATCGGAAAGAGCACGAACTGACACTTGAGTCTTGGAACCATTTAAATATATAATGAAGGAATAAGGAGCGGATTGCATAGCAGTAAATTTATATTGAACACCCTCATATATAAAATCAATAGTGAAGACAGTTTGTAAAATGTCCTTGCTAGGAACTTGACCCTTTTCTAAGAAGCGTTTATATTCGGCTAGACATTCTTGAGACTTGGTGTAAGCCTTCGCAACCGCGCCACATACAATAGCGAGCATCTTGTCTGGTCTCTCTACCGTTAAGTTTTCATGAGTTATTAAGGTGTCTAACCAACCTGTTGTAAAGTTATTCTCTTCAAACGCATTTGTCTCTAGTAATTTTATCAAATATTCGACAGTAGTTCTAAAATCACCACGAATCGATAGTTCTTTAAGAGCAATTATCATGTTCTTGCGTGATTGTTGTCGATTTTCGCCATAGGCAAAAATATGACCAAATTGAGAATCTGCAAACTCGTGGAGACCCCCAGCAGAATTTACCGAAAAATAACCCCAAACATTAGTACTGCTTCTGAAATTTAATTCATGCACCATTCCACTACTAGGTTTGAAACCAGCATCAGGATTTTCTGCAGTTATTCTCACTGCAATTACATGTCCTTTAGGCGCAGGTTTTCTTTGCGTTTGTAAGGATTCCGGTTTCGAAAAATCGAAATCAATTTCCGAAGTACCATTATGAGCTAAACCATATAGCACACGTATATCACGAATTCGATGAAGAGATATTCCCATCGCTACTTGTAATTGAGCAGCAGGTAAATTTACACCAGAAACCATCTCGGTAGTTGGATGTTCAACTTGCAATCTTGGATTTAATTCCAGAAAACAAAAGAAACCATCATCACAATAAAGATATTCTACTGTTCCTGCACTAACATAACCAACCAATTTGGCCAATCGAACAGCAGCTTGTTCCATGGCCTTAAAAGTTTCCTCTTTTGCTATAGTCACTGGTGCTTCTTCTATAATTTTTTGATGGCGCCGTTGTACAGAACAATCACGGCCAAATAGTGAAATTGCATTATCATATTGATCCGCAAGAACCTGAACTTCTAAATGACGAGCACTTCCAGCAAGTTTCATGATGAAAATTGGAGAACCAGGAACTTCACCTTGAACTTGCGCGAAAGCTTGTTTAAAGTTATCAGGATTCTCAACTTTACGTATACCTTTTCCACCACCACCCTCTGAGGCTTTGATCATAACTGGATATCCTATTTTATTAGCTCTGTTTAAACCATCTTCGGCATCCCTCACACAAGCCTTTTCGAAAACATCATCCGTAACCATTACATGGCCATTTTCATCAAATTCAGTCTGAGTAATACCACTACCACTCCATTCCATTGTAGGCACCTCAGCCGATTGAGCCACGATGGTTGAAGATATTTT